ATTGACTCTATTTATTATTTTTAGCTGTTTCAGCCCGGTGGAGTCGGGCAGTGTTCGAGCATAAAATTACACTAAAATATTTATTACTACGAGTATATCAAATTTACCTATTTAGAATATCGACTACACTAGCGAGTATTATAGCGTATACTTAAGTTCTATGGGTCTTATTATAATTTGTTTTATTAGTACATATATAGTTTACCTTAGCTCGCGATTAATTTACAAATTATTAGAACACTTGAATGTCATAGCTCTTATATTTGCAAACACATATGTATACTATGAGAGGCTATAACTATATATAGTTAATATTCCACTTCACGTAATATTTTAAGTTGCACATAATTTCACGGCGAAGTAAAATCGTTAAAGGCGCGAGGGCGGGCGGTTCGCTCGCTGGCCGCCCACGGAATGAACGTAGGCGAATTGTACGTTACACTCGAACTTTTCGAAACATGTCGTACAGTCTTCTACTATACTATATTATTTTCAATTACATGCGACACTTGCAATTGCAGCTTTTAGCTCCGTAAAAATAGAGAACGCTAGTTAAAGTCGAAACAGCGATATAGTTAAGATAAGAGGTTAGGAAACTTGCGTGGAGCAGACATGCAATAAGGCGATGGCAAGCCAAGTAAGTGGCGTTTAATTAAAAATCTGTCACTTCCCGCTTTCCCCACATCCCCGCGGTGGGCTTTACTGCAAGTGCATAGCGAAATAGGATTTATAGGGATTTGTCGAACTTCCGCCTTACATCTTCTAGGTAATTAATGTGCAGTCGCTAAACCCCCTTCTGAGAAGAAAATGCGCATTATTCCTACGTTACATATATATTGCACATAGATAAATGGATTTCTATCATCGTGCAAAATGACAGGCAATGCACGTATAACGATCGTAAAGTATCGTCTAGCAACAAATACCTCTTACGTCAAGATGGGCCTTATTCGTCACATTCATTAACCGCGTGTAATACTTTATCGACGTCCCGATAAGCGGTCGAAGTCACCCCTAATATTAAGGCGCAATAAAAGTCTGGCTGTGAAACGAGTGACGACCATAAATACGAGTATAACTGGAATGTAGATAGAAAAGTCATTTAATTCAATTGAAGCCCCTTTGCGGACTAAATCGTTTGTAACTTCATAAAGCGAACCCCGAATATGGTCATAACATTTTTATTATCTTTGATATAACTATATTAATTTACATTGATTGACTTTTTAGAAGCTATTTATTACGAATTTAAAATAGTAATGTTAATTTCACGGTTTTTAAGAATAATATCTTTAATTGAAGAGTTAAAGATATTGTTTGCAGTGGCAAATGTTTGCAGTTCATTTTTATAATGTAAACGTATACACGTCATCCGCCCTTACATCTAATAACTACATTGGAATAGTAACGCATCGTATCATTTAAAAGCATGACTCGATCGTAGGTCTAACCATTCGCGAGCGCACCGAGCACCAACTTTATGGGTCCTCCCTCTGAGTAATGGCTCACTGAAATGTTTATGGCCTTGTTAAGAATTACAACGGTATTTAGCTTTATCGAAAAACTGTACTTCCTATTGTGTCGATTGTATATATTTTTCATTGTTGTTTTTACATCTGGTTTACGAAAAAATATGTATATAGGTATAATATACATTCGCTACATACATTCACAAGTGTCGGGATTCTTATTTATTTTTGTAGAGCTCGATTAGACTCTCCGTCAGTACCCGTGGCCAGCTGTATATTTCAAGAGCCGTACACTTCAACTCGTGCTCAGTATAAAGTAATTACATAGTTAGCTTAGCTTATGAGACCGTATCGAATGCAAAATGAATAAAACGGCCCTCGGGTCGGCCATAGATAATAATAGACTGTGATCGTCGAAGCGGAAAGCGACAGGTCCACTCATTAACCTATAGTGCCCTGTCAACGTAACTTCATTATGGGCTCCGTATACCTATTTTACATCATTTGACGCGCGGCACTCCGGATCGTGGTGAGGGGTCGTCGGGTTATTTAGTTTTAGAGCGACTTAGTGCTTGTTCGGGTTTCGATGATAAGGTATATGTATGTATATCTAGTTAACTTACCTCGAGAGTGGCGGTCACTTGGGGTAGAATAATCGTCAAGGTAATATTAAACAACTTAAAATATACTTGTTCGTTCGTTGAATTCTTATCGCGCAATCTGAAGTAATATTAAAGCTAACGATTCTATTTAGTTAAACTCGCTTACTTCTAAAGCAAGCTTTCTACTGCATTCATTGTGTAAAAAGCGTTAAGTAGTTGTATGATACCGGCATATATATATTGGAATTATAATTGTTTTTGTTAGTTTTGGCAGAGTAGCATAAAAAGGTACAGATAGCATATTAAACGTGCGTTTCGTCACCCATAATCCCGAGCGAAGACGAGGCGGGTGCTTCTCTTCCCAGCACGCACTATGCAGTGTCAACAAGATGCAGAGCAGCTGCTCTCTCGCATGGGATTACGAACATCACGAGTAATCCCAACACGCGCGCGTGGATTGTGCACTGAATACTTCCATGCAGTTATCGTTTTCGAGGGCTTTCAATTATTGCGCTCAGTCTTTGTTGCGTTCCGTCATTACATTTTAAAATTGTATCTAATTACTATTTATACTTAAATGTTAAGTCTTAATTTCTGTTGTCATTATGGATCACCAAGTTTTTGTCTGGTAAGTCCGGTAACAGTTGGCCGCTGTGAGTACTAATACAACTCGGAAATCGGTCAATCGCTCACACCCCAATTAGCCAAAACGTGTATCATACAGATACAAAGTAGCGATTTTACGATTACACAATGAGCGGCTATAAAAGAGAACCGTGCGCCCCACCGCTCCCATCGAAACACGGCTATATAAAATCGTAGTTAAGTTTATGAGGTGTCGTGTTCCGTGCACAACACTAATAAATTAACACGTCGCTAAATGTCGCGGGGGACCGCGGCAGACGTCACTATTGTCGACACCCGGGCTCCGCAAAGCGGTGAATTTTAAAACATCGCAGCTTATTTAAGGCTATATTTATAGATGGCGCTAAAATTATATCGCACTCAGAAAATCACAGACACTCCTAAAACAGACCGCGGCCGTCTAAAGGAATTAAAAAAATAACGAATGGTCGCGGCCACATGGCCTTTTGCGTGAAATAAAAAGCATTACAAAATGAGTTTTCCGCATTGTGAGCGTGGCGCTTTTTATTTCGACCTCTTTACAATTTTAACGGAGGTGCTTGAATGGTTCTCCTTGTGGCCCCTGGCTCGGGTGACAATCCTTTCCTCGAGACGAACGCCGGTGTAGGAAAATATTCTCGATTTCTTAAAGAATGAATGAATGAATGAGAAAAGTATGTATTGCTTAAAAAAAACACCAAGCATTTGTGTCATTATATCTCATTCTGTGTAATGCGCCCTCTACCGGTCGGTTGTTATTTTATTCATAAAATAACAACCGACCTATGATTTTTCGTATATGCATGGTCATTTCACAAAAATTATCCCGCTCCAACCAGAATCGTGGAAACCCCGGGAGTATGAAAGGCGATTGTGGCCGTCACTCGCATTATGAACAACCCGAAAACTCTTTACAAATCCAATTCTAAAGTCGCGGAGTTCACAACTTACTAATGACATCTTTTTATGTTTTACGCCGCGACGAGCTCAATCCGTCGATGCGCTTCCGATGGACCATTTCGAATATGTTATCCTTGCTATCTAATAAACAGCTACAAAATATTCTACAGGCAATACGGGCTGGGATTTTCCTAGGTTAATTATTTATTTTTCCTATTTCCTATATCAAATCTGAAATTTACCAAAATTAGTCTGTAATAAAATTTTACCATGGTGATAGTCTGTATGTAGATTTTAATGAATAAATGACATAACATGTTATAACTGAAATCTTTTTTTTTTTAATGGCTGCATGAAATTAATTTTTGACGTCCAATTACAGCCTGGCTACTATGAAAAATGGAGATGTAGCGCTGAAGAGTTTGTTTGTTTAAACGCGCTAATCTTTGGAACTATTGGTTCAATTTAAATCATTGTTTTCTTGTTGATAAACTATTTATCGAGGATGGCTTTAAGTTCTATAACGTCACAGCGGAGCATGTGGAAAAAATATTTGACAATGAGGGCTTCCGTCGCGTGCGCTGCAAAAAAGGTTCAAGAAACCAAAAATTAAGTATGAAAGAGTGATTCCTTTTTAAATGATCTAAAAAAAAATCCGTGATAGTATATGTTTATCTTTTATGATGGTAATGATAATTAGTATAAAAGTATTATTTGATTCTACGCCGACGAAGTCTCCGCACTGCTGGTGTCTTATAACAAATGAGCCGATGTCGTTTAAAACAAGCTTAGGTACATACGAGTCAAAATATGTAAACAAACAGCTAATTGGAGCAGACTGGGTGGTGCGTCCTTTCTGCTGATTTAATACACGCACCTGCCTGTATGCAAAATACCTAGACTTAAGGTAAAACAGCATCTTGTCCAATCGAGTAATTTATCATTTCGTCCCGAGGCCTGAGCACAATACTTGTCGTACTTAACACGATAGATGTCCTTCTAGCTTTTTGCCGACCGTACTCTGGCAGTTGGCGACATCGAGACATATTGATTCGGAGTAAATATCCGAGACGCCCGCAGGCTGCAATCAATCAGCAGGGCTCAGATCGAGGATTACCTCTCACCTCGTGCGGGTCTTCAGTCCTCCATCCTCACTAATCAACCGAATTTATAACGCGATTACCGATTCCAGCTTCTACTTTATTGCCCGACTAAGCCGAAATATAATGTATCATAGAAATATTATCGTTAAAGCTTGAGAAAGTGTTTTATTTAATTAAATACATAAATATATATATATGGTAAAGGTCGTCTGAAAATATTCTAGTCGCTTTTTATCGGAGTTAGTTTTACCCGGGTGGGTCGGGTTGCGGCGATTTGAAAAATTCATTTGTGTAGATCAATTTTAGCGGTAGCGTATAACGTGCGACTTGAAAGCTTTTCCGCGCCCATAGGCCACCCGCAATACTGTCGGGTAAACAGTGAAGCAATCACAGGCTCCCGCGGGAACGCGAGGGAACTCTAATCCCATTTGGCGGTCCGATCGAATGGTGACGTGGATGCCTGTCAAATTTTAAACCTATCTGTTTTGTTATCAACCATCCTTGCATTTTAGATTGGCGAAGATTGGCGAACAACCAATTTTGACATATTATGTCCTCGTAATAATATCGTCTTTGTGTTACACATTGTACCTAATAGAAGATGTACGATAATTAAAAAGTCCGCCGGTCTTTCAATTGTTTGTGTTGATTTAAACAAAAATGAAATAATTGTAAAACACTAAACTCCTACAAATTACAATATTTTGTATAAACAATTGCCAAAAACAATAACTAAGAGCATTGTTAATAATAAATATCCAAAATACACATACTTCCTTACTAATAAAAGAATGGTTTACGTTCCTAAAATTTGTAACGATAAAAGATTTAGAATACCGAAGAAGGTTCATATCATTCATGCATAGTAACCTATTAATATGTGGATATGTAAAGTAAATGACAGAAATAGTCAAATCTGCACCTGACTGCACCCTAACTACTGACATCAGGTGGAAAAAGTTACGCGAATCTCGGCGAACCGAAGAGAAAGTTCCCGGCTCGATGCCACCTTCACTCCCCAGCATATTGAAGTATCCCTGAAATATTGTTCGCCGTGACAGCGCTTGTCAGACTACTCGCGAAGAACTTGAGTCAACTTGTGGCTTTCCTTTAACCTTACATTTAATATTTACTTCTTATTTTGTAAAGATTGAAAGAAATAATAAATTCCAGATGTCTAGTACAAACATTCGAACGCCAGCCTTATCTCGAACGACATAAACCTTGCCCTTCTGGGACGAATGATATTCTTTTAGCCGACCTAAACTGTTTCGGCAAACCCCGGCAGCGACCCAGTCCGCTGAAAAGGAAACGCAACACTACGATGGAGAGATAGGCGATCTTATCGCGCCGTCGCGAGGATTCGAGCGGCGAAATTTATTCGAGTGAAAAGCGTGAAATCGGTATCGGAATCGACGAATCGTAATCAGAATCGCGATCGTCGATGTATCGCATTTTTATTTCGATTCGGAACGAGAGGACCATTCGAGCGAGTTCCCGTTCATAACAAAATAACTCGCTACGCGGACGGTTTTCATATTATTTCGCGCGGAAGCTTTTAATTTGTGACATATCTCAACTCGGGCGAGTATTCATGGAAACGATACCGAATCGCCATAAATTCAACATCATATATTTACAAAATCACGTTTTAGAAATATATAATGTAAATGCTTTGTCGGAGCATCATTGATTTGTGCGAGTGATGTGTGGTGTAAATAAAAAACGTTCACCCACACATAGACGAGTCGTAAGCTTTCATAGTAAGAAGCTCCAGTTTGCAATTAAGACGGGGTGTCCGATGCATTAGATGCATTCTAGCGAACGGAGGGGGTGTGCGGCCACTAGAAATTATTTTATACTTGAATGACTCCTCATATCTATATCTAAAAAATACAGACTATTTTAAATAAATTCCTAGTACTTTAGCACAAGTTTTATGCAAAGACTAAAATATGAACGATAAAGTGAATACTAAAACAATATTAAAACCCAAAGAATAACACAAACACACTAGAGGGTAAAGTAATTTAAAGGAGGAATGCAATTACACATTAATTAATGAGGTTATTTGAGAGCACAGCTTATTTGTGAAATTAGTTAAGCTTTGCTTTGAATCGCGCGTTTAATAGCCACAGTGGGAGGGACACTAACTTAGTTATGCGCGGAACGGCGCGTTCTCTCATCCAATTTGTACCGTTTTATTGACTGGAGATTGCTACAGAGAAACGACTGCCGGAGAACCAGGTGCTGCCGATAGTCGAGTTAATTTTGTTTAATTACGTTATACAAAAATGTTAATGTCTTTTCGTGTCTGCTTAATTTATAATCATATTTATGAAATGCCTTAAAAAGAGCACATCCATTGAAACTACTCTTTTACTGGAAACCGTGTCTCGATCTCTTCCAGACGTCACTCCACTATCCGATAACGTCTACCCCTCGACCTCACACAAATCAATTGCACTATTCCAATTATCATGATCGTGACGCTCGCCAACGAAGCTTATTAGTGCTCATCTGCCGGTGACGTCACTAGATGCCGCTAATGGGGTCTAATGGACCCCATGCTGTCGTCGATATTCCTCGGTCATTAATAGACCGATATAAAAGTTAAATATTCTCAACTCACTGGGCCGCACGAACGAGTCCGCCGATGAGAAATGCAGAGGAAGTGCGGCTGACCGAGGCACAGAGGCAGCAATGAGACAGAAGTATTACTTGAAGTTAATATTTGCAGTAGCCAGCGAGCGCAAACACGTCGGAGACACAATATGAGAGCCGACGGCGATCCATATGAATTTTATATTTGTATGGGACATATACGTTCGTTCCTACGGGCGCTGCCACAATAGAAAATATTGTTAGCGCCATATTCAATGTGACACACACTTAGATTTGCTTTACTCAAGTAAAAAATCGTTAATTATTTCGTAAAATATCAACTACACAACTAGCATTCACAACACCGTCCGTATCATAATATTATATAATAATGAATACTAAACTAATAACAAGAAAATTCAAAGGAAAACATAACTATCACAGAGAGTATAATGTGCCGTCCAAAATGGCACCATAGATCACGTCGGTCCGCGGTCACCGCCTGTTTCATGTCTCATGTTTGTACTTTCAGTAAAACGATGCGACGAGCTATTCCGACATCTTACGTACTTTTAATGTTTAAAAGAGTTTATCTCTTCGCGATCTAAAAGCCTTCCAATCGTACTTATGTCTAGACCGCGATGATACTGCTCTCTAATATAGATGTACGTCTTAACTTGATTCATCACTATGCACGCAGCTTTGTGTTAGCTCATATTGAATGTCGAGTCACAGTTCGTTTGAAAAAAGGCGAATGATCGAATGGCGCACGGTGTATTGTCGCCGAATGCTGTGTGTTCAGTGAAATTTTTGAGTGGCGCTTAATAAAAGTTTGCCTTTATCGCGGCAGAGCGGCTTAGCGCTGCGCAGCTAACGCGAACGACAGAATCTGTACTATTTTAATGACACGAGTTGCACTGTGCTGAAACTAAACCGTGCACTAGTTTACTCAATATGTAATTGCCATAATTATACACGTCTTTTTATATAATGACGCATTCGTAGCTTTGTACCTACTTTATAACTGCAACAGACAATCTCGCACATAGGTCGAGGATTAAAGCGCATCGAACAATAAAAAAGCGTGTGGTGGGTGAGGACCGGCGTCTACCGGCACCAAATATTGACCGATCGATCGACGCGGCGCCTTCGCCCTCGGGCGAAACGACAATTTCGAGATTTGAGAGCTCTCAGAGGAACGACGCGTCGGGAATCGTAACTTGTAATTTACATATCAATACAGATATAAATATTTTCGGTGTCATACGGAAAAACGCATATCAGGCTTTCGGTTTTACATTATCGAAAGAATTCTTACCTTCCTCGATCGCCATCTAAACATAAATTTTTACAGTGTTTTGATTCGATAATGATTTAAAATCTGACTGTTAAATTGATACCATACAATTTAACATCGACGTAATAAATAGTGGAAACGATTTCATAAAACAATTACATTAATATAAAAATGAAAACATGAAATGTAGTATAGGAAACTAGTAAACACAATAAAAACCCATACAAAGCCTTCTTTCCTATGATATAAAAAAATTTCAACTTGACACAAAAATAAATAAGAATGAACTAAGTTTTTTATAGTTTTTAACTTTAATTACAAGGATAAACAAATGAAAACTAAGATTATACCATTGAACAAACTACTGTATACAACCTAAATAAAGCGATTAATTCATTACATCTTCTGGATTGGTTTATAATTCTAACGAGCTATAACTGCAATCACATTACATTTAAATAACGACTGTTATTCTAAAATTAGTTTTCCCAACCTTAATATAGGGATCAAAATTCTCTTTCGAGACCGTTCGGATTGAGATAAACGCAGTGAAATTAGTAGAATTACCATATTGACTTAGTCGAAGTGAATGTGTAATTAATTTAGAGGTTTAATTTAAATTAGTTTGATTTTAATCAAAGCATCGGAATTCATTGCAAGGATTTTTGAAGCTTAAACGTAATTCTACGCTTTTGTTATAGAGTTTAAATTACATATTTTAATTAAGTACGTACACAAACGTAAACGTCGGAAATAAAACTGAAGGATTCGAACTATAATTGTCTCTTTTATATACGTATGTAAAGAACCATTTTTATGCTTCTTTAATCTTCAACTTGACGTTTGTAGTTGGAAATATGCAAGTTATTGGGAATTGCCACATTTGAATAAGACATAAAATTAAACGAATTAATGATTTAAAAAAATACTTTAAATGTCCTTTAAAGTAAGTAATTATTAATTTCTGTAATAAATCTCTATTAACTGAGCAACGTTGCCTGTTATAAATTACGAAAAAATATGAAATAAATCGTAACACAAGTTAATATAGGTATTACTATGTAAAACGCAAAATGTAAAGTACAACGCAAACGGCTCCCGACAAAAGGCTCGGTGCAGGGCATTATAAATAAGCGAGTAATAAGCATTACATCCTGTTCAAAATTTCACAGGCGACCGGAAACTTGCGGCGGAACCGCGACCGACCAGATGACGCCTTTCCTCTTATTGCTGACCGGAGGACGCTCGTCGCCCGACTCTAGACCCTATCCCCGTAAGCATAATCACTCGATTTCACGAACCGCTCCGCCGCTAGTCTAAAATGAACACAACTATTTTACAATGCAAATACGCGGGCGCCTCTGAAAAGAGTCAAACGGAGCTTTATTACGTCTAGATAGAACCGAAGAGAAGCATAACGCTTAAAATATGCAATTTCAGAGATTTCGGCGCCTCGTTGACTTAATGGAATTTGTGAGACAACCGGTTTTTTTATGTTCGCACAGACGGACCTAAATGAGAGCTCCGTTTCAATTGACTTTCAAATTACATCATTTTTCATAAGCGGGCTGATAGAAAGAGGGTATTTCTCGATAATATTATAACAGTTTAATCTAAATTTTGTTTGAGCAAAGCACGCTAATGGATATCGAAGCGTAGCGAAGTGCTACGCGGCATCCGTAGACCGTCTCTACGAATTCATTACATTTTATGTATTTTACATAACACCACATTTTTTGTTCCTTACTGCGAACATCAACAAAAATGTAGTTATTTTATGTTATACATACTAATTATGTACATACACGTAACGATAGCAAAAATACTGAATATTCATGACACATTATATTCTATAGGTATCTTCAAGTACAGTCGTCATCAGTATCAGCTGATGGGAACAGGTAGCGCGCCAATATCCTTGATGGAACTCTTCATATGTGGACACTTGTGACGAACGGTGCTTTTGATTTTACGTTGTTATGTAGTTCTTTTTATTATGTCTAATTCAAGAATGAGATGTAGTATAACTGAAGTGTTTGTTTTTTTTCTTCAGTATTATATCTGCAAGGAATATTTTTTTTACACAATACTTACCTCAACTAGTTTTAGGAACTAATCGTCACT